GATGAAAAGAAAAAAAATATATATATATATAATCAACATTGCTTAACTGAAGAATCACGATAATAAATCACAACGCATTAAGTGCCCACCATAGTCTTAAGACCTGTGTTTAACGTGCCCAAGCCCATACTTTTGAGAGCACCATGTGAGCACCTGTGTGTGTACACGCGCTTGTTTATTTAAGGTTTTTCTATAGGAGCGCCCAACAGAGAGTGTGAGGGACCACAGATCCGCCCCCCAAAGATGCGCAGGAGACAGGGGGAGCTCCAAGTCCCAGAGATCCAGGCGCTGCCCCAGAACGCAGGAACCCCAAGGAGACTGCAACCAGGAAGGCCCCCGCCCCCCTCGAGAGGCACAGAGGATCGCCCCGGGGGGCCACAACCAGCAGCCGGCAGAGTCCCTGGAGATATCAGCGGCAAGCCCACAGGCCCGCCCGCAGCCTCCCACCCCCTAGCCGGCTGAGCCCGGGACCCAGCGACCCGGGACCCAGGGGCGACCACCCCCGCAGTGGACCCAGCAGAGCCCAGGGACCCAGACCCCACCAGGCAGCCACCGGGATCTAACAGGCAGATGCCAAAATCTTAAACCCCCAGACCCGGTTGCCACGAACACTCAGGCAGACCAAGGCACAAGCCCCCACACCAGGTGTGGCAGGGGGAGGGGGGACAGAGATCTATATCATCAAGAGAAGTTCCAGGAGAGGGGAGGACCCAAAGGCCCCACCTGACATATTCAGTCATACACAAACACAGTCACACGCTCCCTCCCGCATGCTCACACATGCACATACAACCCAAGACTTACAAAAATGCACGCTGGACACCCACTCATGCTCCCCATACACACCCTATTCACTCTGGTCCCGGTACTGCTGCACATTGGGTACAACCATCACCGGTAACCAGAGTTTGACCCTTTCTGCTGGGGTGCTGATGAGCAGGCTCCCCCGCCCAACGCTGAGCACAGCAACCCACCACCCCAGACCCCAACCAGACGGCCAGATCTCCCTCCTAGCCTCCAGCCCCAGGAAGCCTAGCAACAACAGAGGTGGCTAAGACCCCTAGTCTCCCTCCGCCTGCTCCAATATAGTGTTGTGTGATCATGAGGTGTATTCCATGGCTGTGGTGAGTGGGCAGTGCGGGCATCATCCAGCATATGCCAGCTGATGGCACTGCACCACCCCACTTACACCCTCAGCCATCAGTGTCTAAGTGCGGTTTAAAATTGGAAGTGGGCACCGGCACTCGGGAGGAGGCTGAAATATCCCCCTGCCAAATGCTGTTGAATGTGCTCACTCCCAAGGCCCTAAGTGAGTGTTTGTGTGGAATGTCGTCAGTGGAAGTGTATAAGGTGCAAATAAAATTGGGGGGCAGGTTTCCACAGGAATGCGGAAATGGGGTCCATACCCGCACTCCCTGACTTGCCCACCCCCCAAGGTCCTATGTGTATGTTTGTGTGATGATGTGAGGGAGCAGGAGGAGAGAAATATGCGGGTATGGGGAGGAATGGCTGGTTGGGCTTAGCCCTCCAGGGAGCCAGCTCCCCTACTGGCCCCAATAGGCACCTCTGTTGTCAAACTGCCACCCAGGGCATGGAGACCTCAGCCCATCCTGCCAGGGCCCAAAGCAGCAGCATTACAGAGCCTCACGGAGTCCGAGGGAACCAACCCAGCCCCACCCCAGCAGAATATCTATGCCCACCCCTGCATTTGCACAACTTCCAGAATATATAAGACAAGGGACATCCAGGTAAGGTTGGGTCCTCCCCCTCCTGGACCTCCCCCTCCCCTGTGATGGAACGGCAGAGGAGCCAAGGTCTACCTGAGGCCCCCGAACCCGGGCCAGGCACTGCTGGGTGTCCCTGCCTTCTTCCCGGCAGCATACATGTCAGGACCCGACCCCCAAGGCCCCGCCCAGATCCCCACACGGGGCCGGCCACCCCCAAACCCCGAGCCGTATTAAAGTCGGGTCTGCTCCAGCCAGTGACTCCGAACCTGACCACAACTCCTGTTACTGCAGCATGTTATTCCGGTCCGCGTGGCAGCGGATCGCAGATTCGGCCACACCATAAAACAGCGATAAGTCGGTCTGAGGCAAAAGTGAACCTCAAGGCTATAGCTTTTCCCTTTTCCCCTATTGACATTTGATTACGCACAAGTAGGTGATCAGCTCAGATTTACGCAGAGCAGAAGGAAGGAGAAATGTTCCTACTTTAAAAATACGTTAAATTGCATTGTTTATGTGCTACCTGGGCACTCTAAATATTTATTTAAAATTAAATCAAATGAAATTGTAATGGTATTGAAAGTTTATTAATTACTATTTAAAAAATGAAAGTGATGGGGAAAAAGGTCGATCATATTTTTTAACCCTGTCTGTTTAGGTTGACGTCATATATATATATATATATATATATATATATATATATATATATATATATATATATATATATATATCTCCATGCCCTGATGTGGGGCCTGGGGGGGGTCGACATGGTTGGGACATAGAAGGGGGTGCGCGGCTAAATAAGTTTGGGAATCACTGTTCTAGTTCATAATGTTACTTCTTCTTCACATGTGACATTGGATGATGTCGCCCCTTTAAAAAAGAAGGTAATTAAGCACATGAAGATAGCTCCCTGGTTTAATTGTGATCTATAAACTTTAAAACAAAACTCTAGAAAATTGGAGAGAACATGGCGCTCTACACACCAGTCCTACTTATCCTGGAAAAATAGTCTTGTGTTTTATAAAAATAAGCTTCAAGAAGCTAAAACTGCTTATTTTTCATTATTTTTCTAATTGAGGAGAATGAGAATAATCCTAAATGCATGTCGGCAATGGCTTTATGGGACTTTTCACGAGTAAAATTTATTCTATTAGAAACAAAATCAGTAGCATCCTCACTAATGCGATTTCTTCTTCCTCAGTGAGTGAGGCAGCATCAGAGGTAACTGTAGAACCTCATCTGTGTTTGAACCATTTTGATCCAGTTAAGCTTTCAGTTATCAAAAATATAAGCTTCATCTAAACCTTCAACTTGCATTTTAGATCCAATCCCAACCAAATTATTTAAAGAAGCATTTCCTTTGGTTACTGCCCCCATTCTAGATATAATCATTAGTAAATGGGTATGTACCACAGGATTTTAAGGTTGCTGTAATCAAACCTTCACTTAAGAAGCCTTCTCTGGATCCAGATGACCCAATGAATTATAGACCAATATCTAACCTTCCATTTTTATCCAAAGTCCTGGAGAAAATGGTGGCCATCCAAGTATGTGAGCATTTAAACACTAATGATCTGTTTGAGGAATTTCAGTCTGGTTTTAGAGAGTATCACAGCACTGAAAATGCATTAGTGAGAGTCACAAATGATATTCTCATGGCCACAGATAAGAATCTTGTGTCTGTTCTAGTCTTGTTAGATCTCAGTGCTGCCTTTGACACAGTTGATCACAATGTTCTTGTAGAAAGGCTTGAACATGTTGTAGGGATCAAAGGAACAGCGTTAGGCTGGTTTTAATCCTACCTGTCTGACAGATTTCATTTTGTAAATGTACATGACAAATCTTCATACTCCAGGGTTAACTTGTGGAGTATCACTGGGTTCAGTGCTTGGACCAATTCTTTTTACTATATATATGCTCCCAATTGGTAAAATCATTAGACAGCATGGGATAAACTTCCACTGTTATGCTGACGATACTCAGTTATATTTATCCATTAACCCTGATTAATCTAATCGGTTAGTTAGATTACAGGCTCGTCTTGAAGACATCAAAAATTGGATGACGCAAAACTTTTTGCTTTTAAATCAAGACAAGACGGAAGTTCTCATCTTTGGACCAGAAATCCAGAAAAGGAAATTGCTTATGGGCCATTCCCATCAGTACCGGGTCGGCCCGGGCCGGGTAGCCACAGTCGGCCCCAGCCTGGCCCGGTTGATTCCACACATCCTTGTCTTAAGCCCATGTGGGCTGATTCTACCCACCAATCAGAGGCTTGCTCTAATGGAAGGTGTGAATGGGCTGATTCTACCCACCAATCAGAGGCTTGCTCTAATGGAAGGTGTGAATTTGCTGTCAGCAGTGGGCGTGTTGGCCCTGGTCGGCCTGAAGCAGTACCCCTCGGGAAGAGGGCCGAGAATGAGCCTTGGTTGGCCCGGGAAAATTCCAGACCACCCAGATATGTAAACAACCTACGCTACCCGGCCCGGGCTGACCCGGTACAGGTGGGAATGGGGCTCAAGTCAATCGCCTGACCTGAATGGCGTTACATTAATCTCCGAGAACAAAGTAAGGAACCTTGGTGTTATCTTTGACCAGGACATGTCATTCAAATCTCACGTTAAACAGGTTTGTAGGATTTCCTTTTTCCACCTTCGGAATATTGCTAAGATTAGAAGCATCCTTTCCAGGAGTGACGCTGAAAAACTAGTTCATGCATTTATTACATCAAGACTGGATTACTGTAATTCATTACTCTCAGGAAGTCCACAGAATGTAGGTAAAATTCTACAGCTTGTCCAAAATGTTGCAGCTAGAGTTCTGATGAGAATTAAAAAGAGAGATCATATCTCTCCTGTCTTAGCTTCCCTACATTGGCTACCTGTTAAATTCAGAATAGATTTTAAGATCCTCCTTCTCACATATAAAGCTCTTAATAATCAAGCTCCATCATACATCAGTGATCCGATTGTTCCAAACATTCCTAACAGAGCACTCCGCTCTCTTGTTTCCAGTGTTTTTGTTTAAAAGTGGGAACTTTTCACTAAATTCTGACTAAATAAAAGTCCGGTAGCGAATGTTTTACCACACAATGGTCTGTTCCATTGCCTTCATCAGCAAGCACAGACCATCAGAGCCTCCAGTGAGATGGAGCAGAACCAGCAGAAATTTTGCAGAACAATGAGGAAGCTGCACGGATGGTCTTTACTTGATCAGATTGTTTCTTCTCTTCTCTAATGAAGCAGGAATAAAACTTAAACATGAGTTTCAAAATGTTTTTAACAATCGTTTAATTCAGACTGTACAACAGAAAGACAAGTTTACAGAGCTGACCAGCCAAATGTGGGCAGGAAACTAGAGGTGATTCACTTCAGCCAGATGTTTTTGTCTCCAACATCTTCATTATAACCTGGAGCGTACTTCTTCCCAGGCAGCTGTAGGATAAATAAACAAAAACCATTTAATTAGAATGCCTTCAGCACCAGGAGGGTGATCTAATAAAAGGTTTTTAGGATGTTGACCAATAAGCAATAATAAGCAAATAAAATATCCAATAGGACAAAAGCAGGCTTTAAACACAGAGAGGTGATGCTCTTTTACTGTTGTGTATCTAGACCTCAAACGCAAGTTCCCTCCCTGAGGATGAGCTAGAAACCCCCAACATGACCGATGTAAGTGTCCTTCCCTGACTTTCTCCTGGTTGAAATGTGCTGAGAGATTACACTGCCACATGTCGCCGTCCTCCTTTCTTCAGGGATCCTGGCTCAGAGCAAAATGTCAGGTCACAACCTCCTGTAGCATTCCACAGCCCGACTCGTGCAGCAGGGGGAGACAAAAACGTCTCCAGTCAATAAACACAAAAGGTCAGACCCAAATGTTTCCCCACAAGACCGATGACACAACCAACCAGCTAGAATATTCCACATCTGGCATTTGTAACTACGAGCAGTTCGATATTTCAGCAGAGGGAAATAAGTTTCATCCCCTCAGAAAAGGGTACAGGAATAAAAACCAACACAAAGGCTGTTCATTATGAATTTGTGAGTTTTAATAAAGTGCTCAGCACAAAATAGCTCAACTTCTGTTAGGAAGAAAGAAAAAGTCACAATGATAAAATGGCTCAGCTACAGGAGCAGAAGCAGAGCTTGCATCACATCTGGAATCACATCTGGATCATCAGTGTTTCCCCTAGGAATTTTTCTAGCTGTAGCAGTGGGGCCGGTGGGGGGTGGGGGGGTGGGGGTGGGGGGGGGTGGGGGGGGATTATGACACGTCTCTAAATAAAGTAAAATTTTCTAGTGCAGAGAAGAGACAACCCATAGAAGCACTGATTTGATCTCATTTCAGAGAAAAATAGAACAGGTCAGATGCACCTAATAAGTAAAATTACTAACAAACTCAGGAATCTGTTTCTTTGCTTCACTGTTCTGGTGCTGAGAATATCACTAATGCGGATCAAAGGAGATACAGTGATCCCTCGTTTATCGCAGTAGATGCATTCCAGACCTGGCCGCGATAGGTGAAAATCCGCGAAGTAGGGACACCATATTTACAGTACAGTGTCAGAACCCAAGTTCCAGGCCAGCCTCTTCCAGCTAGCCGGCCTCCACTATGGACCAAAACTCCCAGCACGCCCCTCGCGGGGATTCCCTCCACGTCGCATCTACGTCACAAACCGCGGCTATAAATGGAAGTCACCTTTCCAGCTCACCACTCAGTCATCGTTTCTTCAGATTCATAATCAGAGTTTCCAACCTACCGATCCATCCCACGAACTATCAGCTCATAGTAAGTTATCTTACTTACTTCTGGGAAGCCCGGCATTTCCGTGTCACTTCGTTGACGCTCGAACACTCGGGGGTTTCCTTGATTAAATCGTGAGCCGGCGTTTCACCGATGCTCTCACTTCCGTGTCTGTGAAACCACGCGCTCCCTACAAGCTCAACTCCCGAATCCAGCCGACCAGTCTGACATACAGTACTATAATGAATTATCGTATGATCACATTCTTTTTTTGTGGGTAAAACTCAAGAAAAACATTTTTTTACTTGGTTTTTTTATAGTTTTATTACAAAAGTGCATTTTATGATGAAATTGATAAGAAAAAACAGGAATTTCTTGATATTTCACATAAAAAAATACCGCGAATCGGTGAAAAATACAGCGAATCTGCGAATTTCCCTTGAATAAGGCTCCAAAGAAAAAATCCGCGAAGTCGTGAATCCACGATAAACGAACCGCGAAGTAGCGAGGGATCACTGTACACAGATGAATGCACCTCTTATGTATTATTTGGAGATTACTTTTACTGCAGCTGGCAGAGACAGAGATTTTTTCTATTGATACACAGAATTTACAGAATCATTTTAAATGTTAATAGGGGAAGACGGCAGGAGGGAGCGGTAAAATACAGGGGGTCCCCAGCAAAAACAAGAAACTTTACGAGTCTGATGAAACCTGCTGGTTTTCCATCAGGCATTCAAGGGGCAGCTCCAACGACCCAGTGGCTGTGCTGGGTCAATGTTACCGAGCTCAGTCTGGCTCGGCAGAGGGTGAACGAGCCGAGGCGACGTCGTGCTCTTCTTAAGAAGAGGTGTTATTTTCCCGCTTCAGAAGAAGCGTCCAACGTGTTTTACGCTTTCTCCGAGACATGTCACGTTGCTAAGTTGTTAGCGCCGTGCGCTAACACGTCAATAGTGCAGCGTAGCCTGCTGGAGGTTTTAAGTTTCAGATGAAAACACCCGACCTCTCAGGCTGCTCACACATCGATCTTAAGTTATCGCTGTTGCGCTCACGCCGTAATACAGTATTAGATGCGGTTAAAGTCAGACATGAAAAAATAAATAAATTTTACATGAATAAGTGATGCTTAGCCTGGTGGGGGGAGGAAACCTGGCCTAGTAAGCACTGGAGGAAACCCTGTCAAGATCGTCAACACTTGTTATCTTAATGCTATTGAAACATGTAAACCAAAAGGCATTATATCCACTGCTACCTTTCTAATTTTAAACTCAGTAACTTATGCTGTAACTTCACCTTGCTCTGCCTGCTCCTCCTTGCTGCCCGCCGGCTGTGATCACAAGCGACAACATAGTAGTTCCCGCTGCTTCTTCGGGAAACAGCGCAAAAAAGAAAAATACTTGGGATCTTGTAGGCGTGGCGGTGGGATTTCAGCCGTGGCAGCCCGCCACGGCTACACCTATGTAAGGGAAACCCTGATCATTCTAGAATCACTCTAGGGTAGAGCTGAGGAAAATAATCAAATAATCGATGCATCGGGATGCGGACATAAACGATTCTGCATGGTAGAAGAGTACGCCATAATCAATTATAGTAGAATGTAGTTTTGTTTTTTTTAACGGCGGCACCAGCGCTGCATCCAAATCTGTCAGAGTGAGCGTCCTCCACATTTACCTCTGCCTTAATGTGGTACTGCAGGGCTGAGCGCTAGAGTTGTAACCTGAGACCAAACCGGAACCGAATCAGCCCGACTGGTTCTGTTGGATTTGGGCAGTGAATTATGTTAATTGAGCGGGTTGTCACGCGGCGCGCTGCACTCGCTCAATCAGCGACTGAGAGAGAGAGAGACAATGCTCACCCAAGAGAGAGGATCGGAGGACGCTCCTCCAAACAGATGCTCCAAACACGCATTATTATTTTCATAATTTAATTATTATTTCTCCTGGAAGCGCTCAGTCAGACCGAGTGTTGTGATGCTGGGAGATTCGGTCTTGGGGAGGGGGAGGGGTCAATGACGGCGGCTGCAGCGTGATCGTCTGTCTCTTTTATTTAGGGACACAGAGAAGTTAAAAGGAGAGAGAAATAGAAGAAAGAAGTTCTTGTTCCACTTTATTATTTTGTTTCATGAAGTTAAACTGATGTTAAATTCAGCTTAAAGAGAAGCTGGGAGGAAGCTTTGGTTCATTTTAGGTTACAGGAGATCTCGTCTCCTATCTGCTCCTCCAGAGGCAGCATGGACATGAGGGTCACATGGTGAGGGTCCCACAGGACAGGTTAGTGGAAAGGTTTATAGTTAGCTGGTTAGTGAAAGAGATCCATCAGCTGGGTAATTTAATCCTAATCCAGCCCACAGCCTTCTGATGGTGTTATTATCAGAAAGAATAAAACACACATCTTAAATATTATTGGAAGTTTAGAATTTGTCTTCGTCTTCGTCTTCCTCCGCTTATCCGGGTCCGGGTCGCGGGGGCAGCATCCCAATTAGGGAGCTCCAGGCCGTCCTCTCCCCGGCCTTGTCCACCAGCTCCTCCGGCAGGACCCCAAGGCGTTCCCGGACCAGATTGGAGATGTAACCTCTCCAACGTGTCCTGGGTCGACCCGGGGGCCTTCTGCCGGCAGGACATGCCCGAAACACCTCCCCGGGGAGGCGTCCAGGAGGCATCCTGACCAGATGCCCAAACCACCTCAACTGGCTCCTTTCGATCCGGAGGAGCAGCGGTTCTACTCCGAGTCCCTCCCGAATGTCTGAGCTCTTCACCCTATCTCTAAGGCTGAGCCCGGCCACCCTACGGAGGAAACTCATTTCGGCCGCTTGTATCCGCGATCTCGTTCTTTCGGTCATTACCCAAAGCTCATGACCATAGGTGAGGATTGGGACGTAGATCGACCGGTAAATCGAGAGCCTGGCTTTCTGGCTCAGCTCCCTCTTCCCCACGACAGATCGGCTCAGCGTCCGCATCACTGCAGACGCCGAACCAATCCGCCTGTCGATCTCCCGATCCCTCCTACCCTCACTCGTGAACAAGACCCCGAGATACTTAAACTCCTCCACTTGAGGTAGGACCTCTCCCCCGACCCGGAGGTGGCAAGCCACCCTTTTCCGGTCGAGAACCATGGTCTCAGATTTGGAGGTGCTGATCCTCATCCCAGCCGCTTCACATTCGGCCGCGAACCTACCCAGCAAGAGCTGAAGGTCAGAGCTGGATGAAGCTAGGAGGACCACATCATCCGCAAAAAGCAGAGACGAGATTCTCCTGCCACCAAACTCGACACACTCCACACCACGGCTGCGTCTAGAAATTCTGTCCATAAAAGTGATGAACAGAACCGGTGACAAAGGGCAGCCCTGGCGGAGTCCAACCCTCACTGGGAACAGGTCCGACTTACTACCGGCTATGCGGACCAAACTCACGCTCCTCTGGTAAAGGGACTGAATGGCCCTTAACAGAAGGCCACCCACCCCATACTCCTGGAGCGTCCCCCACAGGGTGCCCCTGGGGACACGGTCATAAGCCTTCTCCAAATCCACAAAGCACATGTGGATTGGTTGGGCAAACTCCCATGCCCCCTCCATCACCCTTGCAAGGGTATAGAGCTGGTCCACAGTTCCACGGCCAGGAAGAAAACCACATTGCTCCTCCTCTATCTGAGATTCAACTATCGATCGGACCCTCCTCTCCAGTACCTTGGCGTAGACCTTTCCAGGGAGGCTGAGGAGTGTGATCCCCCTATAGTTGGAACACACCCTCAGGTCACCCTTCTTAAAGATGGGGACCACCACCCCGGTCTGCCACTCCCTAGGAACTGCCCCCGATGACCACGCAATGTTGTAGAGACGTGTCAACCATGACAGCCCTACAACATCCATAGCCTTGAGATACCCAGGACGAACCTCATCCGCCCCCGGGGCTCCGCCGCTGTGTAGTTGTTTGACTACCTCAGCAACTTCTGCCCCCGAGATCGGACAGTCCATCCCCAGGCCTCCCAGCTCTGGTTCCTCCTCGGAATGCGCATTGGTGGGATTGAGGAGCTCCTCAAAGTATTCCTTCCACCGTCCGACTATAGCCTCAGTTGACATCAGCAGCTCCCCATCCCCACTGTAAACAGTGTGAGCGAGTTGCTGCCTTCCTCTCCTGAGGCGCCGGACAGTTTGCCAGAACCTCTTTGGAGCCGATCGATAGTCTTTCTCCATGGCCTCACCAAACTCCTCCCACGCCCGAGATTTTGCCTCGGCAACTGCCACTGCTGCACCCCGCTTGGCTATCCGGTACCTGTCTGCTGCCTCCGGAGACCCACAGACCAGCCACGCCCTGTAGGCCTCCTTCTTCAGCCTGACGGCTCCCCGAACCTCTGGTGTCCACCAGCGGGTACGGGGGTTGCCACCACGACTGGCACCGGCCACCTTACGACCACAGCTAGCAACAGCCGCCTCGACAATCGCAGAGTGGAACAAGGCCCACTCGGACTCAATGTCCCCCACTGCTCTCGGGACGTGGTCAAAGCTCTGCCGGAGGTGGGAGTTGAAGACCGTCTTGACAGGTTCTTCTGCCAGGCGTTCCCAGCAGACCCTCACTATGCGTTTGGGTCTGCCAGGTCTACGCGGCATGTTCCCTTGCCATCTGATCCAACTCACCACCAGGTGGTGATCAGTTGACAGCTCCGCCCCTCTCTTCACTCGGGTGTCCAAAACATACGGCCGCAGGTCAGATGATACGACTACAAAATCTATCATCGACCTGTGACCTAGGCTGCCCTGGTACCAAGTGTACCGGTGGGCATCCTTATGTTCGAACATGGTGTTCGTTATGGCCAAACTGCGGCTTGCACAGAAGTCCAATAACAAAACACCGCTCGAGTTCAGATTAGGTGGGCCGTTCCTCCCAATCACACCCCTCCAGGTCAAGCTGTCATTGCCCACGTGAGCATTGAAGTCCCCCAGCAGGACAATGGAGTCCCCTGATGGAGCACTATCTAGCACTCGTCCCAGGGACTCCAAAAAGGGTGGGTACTCTGAACTGATATTTGGCCCATAAGCACAAACAACAGTCAGGACCCGTTCCCCGACCCGAAGGCGCAAGGAAGCTACCCTCTTGTCCCCCGGGGTAAACCCCAACACACAGGCAGAGAGTCTCGGGGCTAACAAAAAGCCAACCCCAGCCCTCCGCCTCTCACCCGGAGCAACTCCAGCAAAGTAGAGTGTCCAACCCCTCTCCAGGTCTCGGGTTCCAGAGCCAATGCAATGTGTCGAGGTGAGTCCGACTATATCTAGCCGGTACCGCTCAACCTCTGCCACAAGCTCCGGCTCCTTCCCCGCCAGCGAGGTGACGTTCCATGTCCCAAAAACTAGTTTTCTTGTCCGGGGATTGGACCGCCAAGGCTCCCGCCTTGGTCTGCCACCCGATTCGCATTGCACCGGACCCTTCATGTTCCTCCTGCGGGTGGTGGGTCCACAGTTGGACGAGCCCATGTATCCGGTTCGGGCTGGGCCCGGCCGGGCCCCATGGGCGAAAGCCCGGCCACCAGGCGCTCGCTCACGGGCCCCAACCCCAGGCCTGGCTCCAGGGTGGGACCCCGGTAACCCTCCGGGCCGGGTACTCCGACTCTTCGTTTTAACCGCCATGAAAGATCCTTCGAACCGTTCTTTGTCTCACCCTTCACCTAAGACCAATTTGTCATGGGAGACCCTACCAGGGGCACTAAGTGCCCCAGACAACATAGCTCCTAGGATCATTAGGGCACTCAAACTCCTCCACCACGATAAGGTGACGGTTCAAGGAGAATTTGTGTTGTTTTATTATTTTCTGCATCAAACAGAACTTGATTCATTCTCCAACATTTCAGAATTGAACCACTGGGTTCAAATAAAATAAACCAAGTCAAACATTTCATTTGGTGTTATTTCTGACACCCTTCAACTGTGGCATAAATATTTGACTCTAGAGCTGCTCAGAGACATTAAACACTCATATATGAACCCATTATGGATTTTATTATTACATTATGTGTCCTGTAGGTTTTCAGTACTTTTTTAGATTTTGTGAGATTTTGTAAAGCGTGTTTTTCTCAGCCTGAGGCGTGGTGTTGAACGAGGAAACAGATGTTTTACTTTGTTAAATCTTCTTAAATGTTTAAATGTTTTGTCCTAACCTGTTGTGGATGTAGAGCTTTTGAGGGATGGCAGGTTGTGTCAATTACGTTTTTGATTAAAAAAAAATAAAAAGCAATTATCTGACATCTTCTATTTATCGATGAAAACAAATCTATATGAAATAATCGTGATGCATCGGGATATCGAATTGAATCGTTGACCCAATAATCGAATCGAATAGGGAGACAAGTGAAGATTCACACCTCTACTCTAGGGGGACTCTGGATTCACACAGGTATCAAACCAGGATCACTCTGGATTGAATCTGGGATCACATCAAGATTAGTTGACAAATACACATCTGTGTGTGCACATCCGCAGCCAGGCTCTGAGCAGCTCCCTTCATCAAGTAGATCCATTCATCTGAATATGTGGAAGCCCATTCCCACCACATCAAAGGACTAAAGGGAACCTGACACACCTGCCCCTTCATTTACACAGAGTTCATGTGTCCTAACCTTTGACTGGTACCATGTGTCACGGTGAAGCGTTTGGTCATAATTTCTTAAGTGGGAATAAGCTTCCATAGAAACGAGCTGTTCTAACTACATGTATTCAGGTGTTTTGTTCCAGTATGTTGCCTCCTTCAGGCCAGGAGCTTCTGTTCCCTCCTCCAACCTGCTCTGCTGGGATCTGGAATCTCACAAACCTTCTAGTGAAGAAGGTGGAGGAACGTTGTTGCCATGCTGTCATAACTAAAGCCCTGCTGGTCCACGTTCACAGCTAAAACAAACCTCCAGGAAAAGTGGTCAAACACAGCAGCATGGGAACTTACCGATTTGTAGGCGTAGTACTTCTGATCAAAGTCGAGGCCTCCGACGGTGATCTCGGGCAGGAACTTGGGTATGTTGGTCAGGTTTGACACGCCCTGTTTGTCCTGCACCCTAAAAAACAGAGAGAAGTTGAGGAGCTGTAAGTGTAGAGCTGGTTTAGAACCGTGTGTGTGTGTGTGTGTGTGTGTGTGTGTGTGTGTGTGTGTGTGTGTGTGTGTGTGTGTGTGTGTGTGTGTGTGTGTGTGTGTGTGTGTGTGTGTGGTTAACCCTAACCCACAACACTACAATACCGGTGGACCTATCCTTGATTTGTTGCGTCCGCGGCAGATTTAAAACCAACTTTGATCAGGAGAGTGAGACGGCGATGCAGAGGAAAACGAGCAGGCGTGCTCGTGCGTCTGAGGAGACGGGGATTATGCACGGCTCTACCTGGGATCTTCCTCTCGAACATGCGCTCGCTCCACAACAAAATGGACGAGCTGACCCTGATGTAAGTAGCCTTCTAATCAGATACTTTCTTACACTTACTTGAGTAATAAACCCTATATCAGGAAATCTTGTCCTCGGTTTGTGTCCTTCCAGTGAGCTTTGCAGATGTGGGAAAATGTCACCAGGCAGTAATCATTGTTAAATTCATAATTATTCTCGGAGAGAGACCAACTCGTATCTGCCCCTGCGAGCCCCGTAATGCATAGCGTCATTTCAACATGGTGGTGTCCGCAACACGGTTTATATGCAGGTAGTGGCGCTGCGGCTGCTTTATATAGCGACTCGTTGCATTCTCCCTCAACCCAAATCCTCGGATCACGCATTTTAGCTAAAACGCTAACGTTAGCTTGCCTTGCGTTGACTGTAGAGTTGTGGGTGATGGTCACACAGATGTGTCATGAGATTTGAAGCGTTGCTGCCTTTCACAGACACTTTTTCTGCACGTGCTGCAAACAGGATAGCCGTCTTCTATCAACTGTCCCTTGGCATTCTTCAAATATCTAAAAGATGTCCGTACTTCCGACTTTGTCTTCTTTGAGGGATAATAAATGTCCTGAGCGCTGCCGTCTCCTCCTTTGGCCATTATTTCAGCTTTAGCTTCAAGAAAGTTTTGGCTGTAAACAACAAAGTGCGCATGTGCCGCCGGCAACTTCAGCAGATGATACGGTGGCTGGTAAGGGTCACCGCGCCTACACCGCAGCCACGGTAACCCACCGAGATAATATATCTTTTAAAAACAAGACGGTTATTATTATTGTCAACTTTTTTACCGGGGTTTACCGCTACACCGGTTACCGTGACAACCCTAGTCAGTACTTGATGAGGCAGTTCTACACCGCAGTCATCGAGTCCATCCTCACCTCTTCATTACCCGTGTGGTACGCTGGAGCCACCATCAGGGACGAGAAGAAGCTGCAGCGTGTTGTACGATCTGCTGAGAAGGTCCCTGGCTGCAAGCTCGCCTCTATACAGGACCTGTACACCTCCAGGTCGGATCACAGCTGACCCGTCTCACCCTGGACACGGTCTCTTCGACTCGCTCCCATCTGGCAGGAGGCTCCGACCCATTCGGACCAGAACCTCTCATCACTAGAGGAGTTTCTGCCTGTCTGCGGTCGGACTCATGAATAACAATGGTAGACCTGCTCACTGCAGCTGCTTTGTTCCAGTCGCATGACCCCGTGCTGTGTTTGCACCTGAACCGACCCGCTCTGACCAGCAGTTGCTTCTCTAATTATTGTCTCCCTGTGTAATTATCATTTCATTGTGTTTATTTCTTGTATCTAATGTTGCTCATCATTTACTTGTTCTTGCACCAAGTGCCGCAGCAGCTTCCCAGTGTTGTGATCCTCACACATAATAAAACCTTCTGATTCTGATGAATTCAATTTAAAAATAATTTATTAATCCCAGAGGGGGAATAGACTGCTGTAGTAGCTCAGAATAATAATAATAATAATAATCAAGTCATCAGAGGAACTCACAGCATCCTCATGTTATGGTAGGTGACATCATTCTGCTCCAGCCACAGCCCTTTGTCAAACTTCAGGTACTCGATGTCCTCTGCCACCTGCAGACCAGGTAACTTACTTTAGAGACCTACATCTAACCCAGGACTTCCCGAGTCTGTGACTATACTCCTACCTTCTCTGCATCCACATCCTGGGTCGCATCATAAATGAGAAGTTCAGATGTTTCTCTGAAAGGTAAAACCAGAACCAAACGATCAGGCTCAGAGTGAGCTCCACACCCCCCGGATCGTTTACTGCTCACTCACCTGATCTCTGGAAGAAAAGACTTCTTGTAGGAATCATCGATGTTCTTCAGATACTGCAGGGGCACATTCTGCAGGTATGACTGAAAATCAAACAAGGTTAAGATGTTTCCTGGTATAATGAACCCTACCCACATAGCCCAAAGATACCCCTGCTTGTTTAATCCACAAAATTTAGGAAAACGTTTCATTCCATGGATTGATCTAATGAAGCAGGATGTTAAGGTATGTTGCATCCACTCCCTGTTCTGAGACAAACAGGAAGTGCAGTCACCGTAAAGGTCAAGAGGTCATCTGTAGGAATGGTATAGAACTGAACTGTGGATCCTTTGCAATAAAGCCTGTTCATCTCATGATGTTTGTGTGTTGTTTCTCCTACAACTGTTGATCAAAGCTAGAACCGCTTTTGGGAACTGGTTGGGAAAGTAACATGAAGTCGGGTCAAGCCGGCTTCTCAAAACGTCTTTTGACAGAAGTCATCAACTCTCAAGCCACAGCTGCAGAGTTAATGTGCAAGTCTCATCTGTTATTGTACGAAGGGATCTGTCTTCATGCAGAGGACTTGGCCAGCTTTAACTGTCGTGTAAGGTCAGGCACGCCTCGTGGAAGTAACAGAACTGCACAAAAGCAACATCCCACCTTAAATGGGGGGCTTTCACTGTGACTGTCTGTCCGTGTTGATGCTGACTGTAATAAAGGCCCCAGCGCTGTTTTATAAGAACTCTGGCACCAAACCATCTTATCCTCTACAGAAGTACTTTACAGGGTTCATTTAGAGGTGAGGCTGCTTGATCCGATCAGCAAGTCTTCTATTCACCCACATCTGCAGCTTTAGGAGCCATCTGAGATGTGTTTTACAGTTTGATCTGTCTGTGTCACGGCCTGAAGGGTTAGAGAGAACCTCCAGTCACTTTATACTGAAATTTAGATCCTCATCTGTGTTAATATTAGAGCCTGCAGCACCGTCTCACTCACACACACACACACACACACCGTCTGTACCTTTCCACTGTCTCTGAGCTTCTTCTGCACCTCCTCAGCCGGCAGGTCCAGGTAGATGACCAGGTGTGGAGGGAGGAACTCACAGATGCTGTTGTGTTTGATCTCGTTGTAGTGCTCAACACCTGCAGGTCCCAACAACAACAGATACAATCATCACTGGGTAGTAATGGCTGCTCACAGAGCGCCTCGCCCCAACCCCGGAGCCAGCTTTGTTCCAACACCCATGATGCATTGCATGAATCTTCCTCACAACCATCAGTTAAAGGTTGACTAGTGAACACGGACACTCTGGCGAACTCTGGTGTTCAGAGGTGGTACTGCAACAACAGGACTGAGGTGTTACTGCTGTCATGTTCCAGCACCGTGTTCAGAGACGAGATCAGGACTAATTTCTACTAATGAGTAGTAGTATTTACCGTTAGATGGGATGTTTCGTTCCGATATCGGAAGTACTTTGATATTGGGCCAAAAACGGATTATATCGGACTGGATCAAAAATCTCAGATATAAGCTTCACATTTTTGCAGCCAATGGTTAAGAAAAAATTGTCATTTTTTTTTTCATATTTACTGTTAGTGGCTCTTGTTCTCCAATTGAGTAATATCCCTTGATTAAGCCTTTCATACATCCCGCACTATGAAATAGGTAAAGTATGTATGATTTGTGCTGATATTGTATTGGATTGATATCGGTATCAGTCAATACTGAAGGCTGCAAAATCGGTATCGGTAGTGAAAAAGTTGCATGGGCACATCCCTACCGTTAGAACATCTTCTGGGCTCAGAATCAGCTGCTTGACTTGTCAAGTCTGCCATTTTACACAGTCCCGAGTCCCGACCTGGCCTTGCTGAGCGAACCTTTTAGCACAACGGTGCCCTCTAGTGGCTGGTAGAAGCAAACATAAACAGTGTCGTGCCCAACAGAATAAAAATTGGATGATTTATCTTTTTAAATATAGCTTAAGAAGGAGAAACTGTACATTCATCCTGCACAGCTGAACGCCCCAGAGGTAATATTGTTTTTAAATATAGCTTTTACATAAAATGTTCCGTATTTTAACTTTAATTTCATCTCAGCAGGAGAATTATGTCCCACTTCATAACCAAAGGGTCGTAGGACGGCGCCTGTACTCTGCAGCTGCAGCCTCGCCTCTGTCAGCACGGCCCAGAGGAGCTGTGGCTACAACGTAGCTCATCACCACCAGGGTGTGAATGTGTGTGTGGATGAATGTCTGGTTGCAGGAATCTGTAACTGAGGCTTTGGAGCAGAACACAAGTCATAAACCAACACCACAAAGGAACTGAGACACAACATCCTTCCTACCCTCCACAATAAAAGCCCACAACAAATATGATGCATGTTGCACCTAAAATACTCTAAAATCATTGAATGCTAATTAAAGTAGTAAACAGCTGGAGTATCTTGTGTTTTGATGCTGCACCATCACATTATCTAAACGTCTGCTTAATAACTGATAATAGCATCACTTTCAAATATAGGACTAAACGTTTATTTTAAATGTTGTAGCATCCAGAAAGGGTCCATTTTCACCTATATATTGACCTACATGGTGACTGGTCATCTACAGACATAATTCCACTATCTAGGTGGATTTTCTATTCTATCTTCTAACACCCAGAAGATTCTGCAGGGCTTGTTGACGGTCCATGAAGACAAGATTGTCAACCTTATTTCAGACTGCTGGATTCCACACTCTGAATGAAAAGTGAACTTTTACAACTCATAAGTTAAATAATCATATGATTGAATGAACCAGGTGTTATATGAAATGTCTGAATAATCTGTGCCTAATTCAGTGAAGTAGAAATGAATATTGTCCTTACAATGATCCATTTATGTGTTATGATCAGTACTGTTTGATTTAACAAGTGCATCATTATCTACACTCATACACAAAGTTCATTAGATGCAAATTAAGGTTAAGGTCATCGCACATTAAGTTTAAAGATTCTTTATTTGCAGAACTAGAACAGCTTGTGTCTGGAAGGTGTGGTTTCTGAGGGGTGTTTGGTAAAGCCTACAAACATGTCAAATTCTGATTCGCAGAAATCATAAACTCTAGATCTAAAACTAGAGTGACTTCCGGAGTTATTCAGTTTCGAGCGGAACTCCGAAGTGGCCAATTCGGCTTCAGCTTTCAGCTGTTAACTTTATTCTTTCTCTAAGTGTTTTTCTCCCCAGAAGAAGCTACAATGATGTTCTGCTGAGCTGTGGTGGCCTCATGGAGGGGGCCATCGTCTAGCACACTGCTGCTAACCACTTAAACATTCTCCCTCTCCTGATAATAACTTTTTACTTTCCTTGACGTTGGATGTGCTACTACTAGTTTACCCGTGTAATTATAGATTCACTAGGATAAATACAATAAAGTTGATCTCTCGCCAAATAGAATATTTACTAAGAAATCACAATATAACCATAGTAACATTACTTTGTGTGTGTGTGTGTCTGCGTGTGTGTGTGTGTGTGCGTGTGTGTGTGTGTGTGTGTGTGTGTGTGTGTGCGTGTGTGTGTGTCTGCGTGTGTGTGTGTGTGTGTCTGCGTGTGTGTGTGCGTGTGTGTGTGTGTGTGTGTGTGTCTGCGTGTGCGTGTGTGTGTGTGTGTGTGTGTGTGTGTGTGTGCTCTGGCTTCTCCATCCCCAGTGAGTCGTGGAGGATGGCTGCTTATACTGAGCCAGGATCGTCTGGAGGATTCTTCCTGTTAAAAGGGAGTTTTCCTCTCCACTGTCGCTAAATGCTTGCTTAGTATGAGGATTGCTGTAAAGTCACTGACACTATTCAGTGACTTGATGCAATTTGCTGGGTTCCTTATATAGGAAGCATTTTTTCTGATTGGCTTAATGAACTGACCTGTATTGGAATGTTTACTATGTGAAGTGCCTTGTCGTGATTTGGCGCTTTATAAATAAACTTGAATTCAATTGAATTCGGAACCAGCCTCTTTGAAACATCTCTTTGACACCCAGGAAAAACCTGTTTGCGCGCTGCAAGCTGACACAGATATACGACTCCTTAAGAGTCCATCCATTTGAGATGCACAACAAGTCCACCTGTTCGTTGTGACCTGGAGACATCTCTGGACTGACCTGGTTGCATTGCGGTTAATCTACGAACTTCGATGCCTTGGGGTCCCCCGGGACAAACTAGACTTATTTTTATTTCAGGTCATTTTTAACTGTAGCTTAAGGCCACGCTTGTTGCACTGACGTAATAGAGTACGTCCTTGTCCTCTCATACTCGGTACAACGGACTTTCTGCTGTACTTGCTGAGTAAACAAGAACGTACTAGCGTACTTGGGAATCTGGAGAGGACAATCACCGGGTTTTTTCTTTCCATTTCACAAAGAAAAAATTAAGCCATGGATAAATATGTCCTTCGTGACAGACCACAGTCACCATGGCAACGATAAACCCGGATGTCTCTTCTAAGGAAAGACAATGGCAATCAGCTCATGTAACGCAATATCATCCGTGTTAAGTTACATGATGAGCTAGCCACCTAGCGGGCTGTTGATAAGCTAACGAACGTTTTCCTGCTGTAGCTGAACGAAGCTCAACTTCCTCTCACCAAAGGCACCAGACGAGGCTTCGCCCTCTTGCTTTGTGATCCGTGCCTCGAACTCCAGGTTTTTCATAAACTCCAGTTTGACATTTTGTACAAAGCCTTCCGTGGCGTAAAGCTGACCTTCAAAAAGGAATGAGATGTTGTCGACTCCAAGAGTTTTCCAGAGCCTCATTAGGAATTGTTTTGTTACGGACCACTCTCACTGTAAACACGGTCAGCTGTGACGGCTCGCCCAGGTTAGCAACAGTAACTAAGCAGGGCGGGGCTTAGAGCCACAGTTCAATTTAAACACATGTTTATATTCTGTCTCTCAACTCCAGTCGCTCATTTTTCTGCTTTTACTGAAGAGTTTTAATCTGCATTCCTCCACCGTGCCACTAGGTGGCAAGAGCACACACTGACTAGATTTAGAGAGGAAAAAGTTCCTCCCAGAACCCAGATTCCTCTTTTATCCTGGAACACGTTTCCCTCAGGTTTTATCTCTCCCACCCAAGAACAAAGTTAACAACAGATTTTAATCTTGGTTGAGCAGAAAATCAGGACTTTAATCACAAAAGTTTATTTTATTAATTTATGCTTGAATATTTTTTGTGTGTGTGATATGTATTATATTAGAGGTTTTTTTTATTATTATTCTTGATAACTCCAGGTTTCAGATCAAAAGTCTGTGATGGAGGAGCCATGTTGCTAGTTACTTACACTCCTGCCTGATGTAGCCCTGCTTGAACATGGCATCCAGGAAGACCATGTCACTGAAAGGGGAACGTTCCAGGATTACTCCTTGACCTTAAAAACACCAGAATCGACATCATACGACCTTCTCATGACCCAAAATGCTAAATGTTATTTTATACAAACAGGCAGAGCTCTTGCGTTAGTGTTACCTGTAGTGAGAAGATGTTCAATGGCATCACTATACTGCAGCACCCTCACATTGTACATCCATAGCTGCAGCCTGTAACTGTTCCCGTCTGCAGCTTTTGGGTTGGTGTAGAACTTCTCCAAGCTACACATCCCATTAAAGTCAACAGAGAGGGGCTCCTTCTCCTTAGTCATCTTGTCCATGTAGAAGGTGTCAGCCTCAGGCATGTACAGCATCCCTGTGAACACATCAGCGTCAGCCAATTTTCCACCAAAGTGAGAAAATACCAGCCGAGCGTGTCCCTGCCGCAACCAGACCCATATGGTCTCATCATTACCTAGTTTGTCTGCTAGTTTCTGGGCCAGGGCTCCTTTTCCAGATGCCAGGTTTCCATCCACACTGATAATTTTACTGTACTTCTTTAACCGTGGGGTTGTCCTCTCACCCAGTAAGTAAGCCAACCATCCATACTCCAGGCCTCTCACTGAGCTGGTGTGGAAACTCGCCTGCATGACAGAAAACAAGACTTCACCACATCTGGAAAGAGGCTAAATGTCTGGTCCTGTGTACTAGGTCTGGTGTTGGAACAAATACATCCCACCTGTGTTCTCCACAGAAAATCAGATCAGAGTTAGAACGGTTCCAGCACCTAACACGTTTAAACAACTCATCCTCCTCACCGCTGATTTATTTGCACCAACCACACCTGATGGAAGTTGTAAACACAGACCTCTCCTCACACCATCACAACTACTAGTTCCATACATTTGCTTGACACATTGTTCTGTTTGACTGAGATAGAATTATCCCAAGAAAGCCGGACCAGATGCCGATCATTCGTGTCGCTCAAGTCTCTGCAGGTAAACAGCGGACACCTGTTCTTCACGACAGATCCTTCAGGTTTACGGTAGGTCACGTGTCCTTTTGACAGCACCAATTCGGGCACAATTATTATTATAATAGTAAAACACCACATAATATCGACTGCCTGCTCGCTCACTTGTTTTTTTACGAAAACAACCAGATAAATACCAGATGGCGTCGGCGACCGACACTAAATCTGTTAGCCTCTGAGAAGCTAGCTGCCTTAGCATGTCCTTGTGAATCACAGGCGTTTATTGGGTCGGTACCGACATAGTACTGCGTGGTTCCGGTGCTCACCTTCTGAACGAGGTTCCCCGCTTTCAGAGCAGCTGCTGCCCCCGGGACAAGCAGCCGAATTACCGTCAGGGCCATGCTAGCTGTCCCCGAGAACTGACCCGAACAAACCGGAGACTGATTTGTACGTCACTGTCGCGTACTTTAGTCGTAACTGGTTTCTGTTTGCACGTGAACGAAGCGACCATATTAGGAGGGTCAAAGCTGCAACAGTTTCCTGATCCCCTGTGAGGTATGGAACACAAAAGTATTCAAAATTCAATAAATAAATAAGACATTATGAAATAAATATCTACATGAATAAATACGAGACAATTACGTAATCTGACAATGAAATGATGAAATAACAGAATATTATGTAAAATCTAAGCCCAATATTGTGAAATATTTTTCATTCTTCTTTTAAAATGTTCTTATTAATATAATGTTTTTTTTCAAAAGTAATTTCTTCATAATAACCCAAATGAATATTGAGCCATTTTTATTTAACTCATTCAGTTTTATTACATAACATAATTTTAACAAAGACAGCTTTTTTTCATAATAGTGTTTTTTCCCATGGCTGATGTATTTCATAATGACACTTTACAGTAGAATGTCTCAGTCCATCAGTCAAGACTAACAGGATGGAGCCAGTGTGTCACTGGCTGCTAATTCAGTCAGACAAAAGCAATCACTCACAAAGTATCGAACCAAATGCTTCAAAAATGTCATCCAAACAACTCAAAATATTGTCTGCTGACAAACTATTCAACTCTATTTGATCCGCCAAAGAAAACAGAGCTAAACTAAGTTCAGGCAATGCCGCCATCTTTCATGACCATTGGCCTAGGAAGGTGTTATAGAGAACTACCTTAAACTGTCCGGTCATTGGGGCTTGTTCGAGTTTAGCAACGCCTCGCCTGGAAAACAGACAAGAGCAGATGGAAGCAACAGGGGGAGTGGCTGAAAGCCGTCGTTTAAGCCGAAGAGATTTCCCTGCATGTGTAGCTCCCGAAGAGGAAATGTTGGTCCCCCTTTCCATGGGCTCACCACTCATGGGAGGGGCCAAAGGAGTCAGGTGCTGTGTGTGACGGGTGGTAGATGAGGGTGGGGACCTTGGCGGTCTGATCCTCGGCTACAGAAGCTGGCTCTTGGCACATGGAATGTCACCTCTCTGATGGGGAAGGAGCCTGAGTTGGTGTGTGAGGTTGAGAGGTTCCGACTAGATATAGTCGGACTCACCTCAACGCATGGCTCTGGCTCTGGAACCAGTTTCCTTGAGAGGGGTTGGACTTTCTGCCACTCTGGAGTTGCTCCTACTGAGAGGCGCCGAGCAGGGGTGGGCGTACTAGTTGTACGTTGGGGTTTACCCTGGTGAATGAGAGGGTAGCCTCCCTCTGCCTATGTTGGGTATTTTTATAATTGTACCTTTTTGAGGCCTAAAAGATGCCCATTTTGTGTTATTAACACATCATGAATCTCTGTGTTTGCCAACTACTGTGGCTGTTCACGAAAGGTTGAGCAAGGATGTAGATTGTAAGAAACCTCTGTACCTCTGTAACTTGAGAAGGCCCGCCTTCTCCCCCATCCTTTGTGAATAAAGCCCCTGACGAACTAGAAGCACACGGGAGTGACGTGGGGAAGCCTCGGAGGAGGTTGCTCTGCGTTAACTCTCCATATTTTGGGGACTCAGGGTAAAATGTCTTCCTTGTTGTCATGTGTGTTTATTTCAGGTTCCAGGGTTATGGAGATTAAATATTACCTAACATTCTGGTCTCCTGATGGAGACCGCGGGTATGCAGAGCTGGTGAGGTGAAGGCTTTGAGGCTGGAGCAGAGTGGGGGCTGGTTGGTTGAGTCCAGCTTCTCGCATGTTGATTCGCCCACATGGACATTACAAATAATCAATTTACTCTCTCTCTCCGGGTGTGTCATCCTTTAAGGTAATATGGGATAAATCTAATTACCTATCAGCCTACATGTGGGGGGACAGGTTCTGACTGTGGTCGGTGCTTATGCACCAAACTACAGTTCAGACTACCCACCCTTTTTGGAGACCTTGGAGGGGGTGCTGGAAAGCACTCCTTCCGGTGACTCCCTCATTCTGCTGGGGGACTTTAACGCTCATGTGGGCAACGACAGTGAGACCTGGAGAGGTGTGGTTGGGAGGAACGGCCCCCCGATCTGAATTCCAGTGGTGTTTTGTTACTGGACTTCTGTGCCAGTGATGGATTGTCCATAACGAACACCAAGTTCAGACATAAAGGTGTCCATATGTACTCTTGGCACCAGGATACCTTGGGCCGCAGCTCTATGATCGACTTTGTTGTTGTTTAATCTGACCTGGGGCCGCATGTCTTGGGCACTCGGTTGAAGAAGGGGCAGAGCTGTCAACTGACGACTACCTGGTGGTGAGTTGGCTCAGATGGTGGGGGAGGATGGCGGTCAGACCGGGCAGGCCCAAACGTATTGCAAGGGACTGCTGGGAACGTCTGGCAGAGTCTCCTGTCAGAAGGAGCTTCAATTCCCATCTCCGACAGAACTTCCAAAATGTTCCGGGGGAGGCGGGGGACATTGAATCTGAATGGACCCTGTTCCGTGCTTCCATTGTTGAGGCGGCCGACTGGAGCTGTGGTTGCTGGATCGTCAGTGCCTGTCATGGTGGCAACCCCCGAACCCGCTGGTGGACACAGGTGGTTAGGGATGCTGTCAAGCTGAAGAAAGAGTCCAATCAGGTCTTTTTGGCCTGTGGGACTCCAGAGGCAGCTGACAGGTACCGGCAGTCCAAGCGGAGCATGGCTCGGGTGGTCACCAAGGCAAAAACACGGGTATGGGAGGAGTTCGGTAAGACCATGGAGCAAGACTTCCGTACGGCTTCGAGGAGATTCTGGTCCACCATCCGGCGCCTCAGGGGGGAAAGCAGTGCGCTACCAACACTATCTATAGTGGGGACGGCGTGCTGCTGACCTCTACTCAGGACGTTGTGGATCGGTGGGCAGAATACTTCGAAGACCTCCTCAATCCCACCGACACGTCTTCCAGTGAGGAAGTAGAGTCTGGGGACTTTGGGTTGGCCTCTCAAATCTCTGGTGCTGAGGTCACTGAGGTGGTTAAAAAGCTCCTTTGTGGCAAGGCTCCAGAGGTGGATGAGATTCACCTGGAGTTCCTTAAGGCTCTAGATGTTGTGGGGCTGTGTTGGCTGACGCAGCTCTGCAATATCGCGTGGAAATCGTGGGCAGTCCCACTGGACTGGCAGACCGGGGTGGTGGTCCCCTTATTTAAAAAGGGGGACCGCAGGGTGTGTTCCAACTACAGGGGGATCACACTCCTGAGCCTTCCTGGTAAGATCTATTCAGGGGTTCTGGAGAGGAGGGTCCGTCGGATTGTTGAACCTCAGATTCAGGAGGAGCAATGTGGTTTTTGTCCTGGCCGTGGAACACTGGACCAGCTCTATACCCTTAGGGGGATCCTGGAGGGTGCGTGGGAATTTGCCCAACCAGTCTACATGTGTTGTGTGGATTTTGAGAAGGCGTTTGACCACGTCCCTCAGGGGGCCCTGTGGGGGGTACTCCGGGAGTATGGGGTACCAAGCCCTCTGATACGGGCTGTTAGGTCCCTGTATGACTGGTGTCAGAGCTTGGTCCGCATTGCCGGCAGTAAGTCGGGCTCGTTCCCAGTAAGAGTTGGACTCCGCCAAGGATGTCCTTTGTCACCGGTTCTGTTCATAACCTTTATGGACAGGATTTCTAGGCGCAGCCAAGGTGTGGAGGGCATCCGTTTTGGTGGCCTGAGGATCAGGTCTCTGCTTTTTGCAGATGATGTGGTCCTGTTAGCTTCATCAGAACCTGATCTTCAGCTTTTGCTGGAGCGGTTCGCAGCCGAGTGTGAAACAGCTGAGATGAGAATCAGCTCCTCTAAATCTGAGACCATGGTCTTGATTCAGAAAAGGGTAGAATGCCTTCTCCGGGTCAGGGATGAGGTCCTGCCCCAAGTGGAGGAGTTTAAGTATCTCGGGGTCTTGCTCACGAGTGAGGGTAAGATGGAGCGTGAGATCGATAGGCGGATTGGTGCTGCTTCTGCAGTGATGCGGGCGTTGTACCGGTCTGTCGTGGTGAAGAGAGAGCTGAGTCAGAAGGTGAAGCTCTCAATTTACCGGTCGATCTACGTTCCTACCCTCACCTATGGTCATGAGCTTTGGGTAGTGACCGAAAGAACGAGATCACGGATACAAGCGGCCAAAATGAGTTTTCTCCGAAGAGTGGCTGGGCTCTCCCTTAGAGATAGGGTGAGAAGCTCGGTCATTCAGGAGGGGCTCGGAGTAGACCCGCTGGTCCTCCACATCCAGAGGAGCCAGTTGAGGTGGCTCGGGCATGTGGTCAGGATGCCTCCTGGACGTCTCCCTGGTGAGGTTTTCCGGGCACGTCCAACCGGGAGGAGACCCAAAGGTAGACCCAGGACACAGTGGAGGGACTATATCTCACCTGGCCAGGGAATGTCTTGGGATTCCCCCGGAGGAGCTGGCTCAAGTGGCTGGGGAGAGGGAAGTCTGGGACTCTCGCCTTAGGCTGCTGCCCCAGCGACCTGACTCCGGATAAGCGGATGAAAATGGATGGATGGATGGATGGAATAATTGGGGTTATTATGAAAAAATTACTTTTGAAAAAACATTATATTAATAAAGTCATTTTCAATTCAATTCAATTTTATTTATATAGCGCCAAATCACGACGAGTCATCTCAAGGCACTTCAAATAATAAACATTCCAATTCAGGTCAGTTCATTAAGCCATTCAGAAAAAATGTTTCCTGTTACGTACGTTCGCGACTAGATGGCCCCCGCAGCTCCCTCCTCATCCGGTTCCCTTCACAGCTGTTCTCAATTTAGTCATTACCTGGTCACTGTGTTAAAAGACTCGCCTATCCTTCCATTCAGGGAGAAGGTCCAGGGTAGTGTAGACTCAATGAGTTTATACTATTCTCTTCTCCTCGTGTGTTGTTGGTAAAACTTGTTTCGCTCGCTAGTCTTCGGATTTCGGATTTAGGATATTTAGGATTTGACAATTTGGCTTCTTGACTTCAGAACTTTATTGATCTTGACTTTTGGATCTCCCCCTGAGCTTTCTTGCTTATCTGGAAAGCTCTTAATATTTATGGTTATTTAATCCCCAACCCCTTCTGGGTTTGCG